TGGCGAGGGTGCCGCCCTGCCCGGCCTCTCCCAGGGATCTCATGCGGAGAACTTGGTGAATATTGAATGAGACCTACAAGGCCGCAGGGGCTTGTGTGCGCGGGGCTTGGCCTCCTGTCCGCCCGGGCCGGGGCCGGGGCCGGGTGACACGGGTGACGACGTCGTGCCGCTCCTGCTCCGAATTGTGTCTCGGGATCCCGCGTCCCGGTCAGCCATATCGCAATGCAGCCGACACTGCGGCCCGGCCGGGGAATGCTCCCCGCAATCAGCGCGCTTGTCCGCGAAAGGACCCTCCGCCACCCGCGCCGCCCGCGCCCCTTCTCGCGATTGTGTGTATATCGCGCGACAGCTCTCTACCACTTGTGCTGTGCGACCCAAACGCGGTAAGAAAGCAAGCCATTTTATTCCTCCTCGTCCCTGCTCTCTCCGCACTTCCCTCCCCCACTTCCCCCCCCCTCTCTCTCTCTTTCACCCTCGCCTCCCCGTCTCCTTGTTATTTTACTGTTATTCCCATTTGTGTAGCGACGCTAGGAGCGCCGTGATTGGCACAGCAGGACAATAAATTCTCCCCAGCAGCTCCTGCGCTCCCCCTCCTCCCGCACACACAACCGCTTTGCTGCGACCAGAGTGTCTCGCGTTTTTCCGCCGGGCTCAGCAGCAGCAGCAGCGGAACAGACGGCGTCGCTTTGCTCGGTCCTTCTCCTTTTTTACGCCCTTCCGTCCTTTTGGGACTGCTGCTGCTGCTGCAGCAGCAAGGCGGGGTGGGGGACGCCCAACGCCCATGCGGGCTGATGGCCGCTCATGACGTGTTCGCGTTCGCGATCCCCGCCCGGATGCGGATCCGTCCCCCGGGGCTCTGGTCGCGCCGCCCCTGCCCCCCGCCCAGCCCCGCGCCCAGCCCCGCGCCAAGGCAACCCTCGGGGTGGCGGCCACTCCGGCGGACGTCACAGATGACGTCCCCCCGGCCCTCCGAGGCCGGCGAGGATATAGCTCTCGAGGGCGCCGAATAGGGACACGCGTGGACGCCCCCGCGCGTGCACGCTGCCGCTGAAATCCTAGCTGGAGCGGGGGCGGGGGCAGCGCGATCGTGATCGCGGCCGCGTCCCCCGGGGCGCTGCGTGGTGCTCGTGTTCGGTCCCGGGCGAGAGTTCCACGCCGCCGCGGGGGACCGCTGTGCACCGCACGGCTCGCCTCCCACCTCCCCCTTCGACCCCGCCTCCCCTCTCGCCACGTCGCCGTTCGCCCCTTACTCAAAGTCAGAAAATAACATTATGCAGAATTTTGCGGCTTCCCCCTTCCCCTGCTTGCTTTGGTCGGTGCGAACGGGGAACCGCGGTAGGGGGGTTGGGGGTGGTCGCCTGGGGGCGAGTCTCTAGAAGGCAGGGATGAGGAGCAGGGCAATGACTTCTGGAGTCCACGACCGGCCCTCAAGCGGTGTCCAGGCCTACAACACCCCCCTACTCTCGAGTCTCTGCCAACAACGCCTCTGTGGTCCAGCGGGCGGCAGGCGGCAGGGGAGGGCGTCGAGGCGTTACGTGCGCGAAGAGGCTGCCCCTCCACGACCGCATGGAGGGCCGGGGCCCCTGTGGGGTGTCGAGGCAGGGTGGCAGGGTGCGTGGTGGGACGCAGGATGACTGGGGGAGCAAGGGTGCTGCTGGAGCCGAACAAGCCTCGTCGCACATCCGCCGCGTCGCGCGACCGGCTCTCGTGCCGGGGCGACATGTATTGCGCTGGAGAGCAGGGCGGGGTGTCGCGACCCCACGGCGTGGCGAGGCGGAGGCGTGTCGGGGCGTGGCGCGGCCAGCGAGGAAGGGGCTCTTGGCTGCCTCGGGGAGGAAGAGGAGGATATTTTTAGGCCAGTCTGAGCGAGACTGCGTGGCGGCGGACCCTCCCCGCTCTACGTCACTCCACCCTGCCCTGATGAGGGATCGGTACACTGTATACTGCAGAGCGACGGAGAGAGAGAGAAAAATAGAGCAGAGTGAGAGAGAGAGACACGGAGAGAGAAGTGATGTAGCAGGTCGGACATCATGGAAATGGTGGGAGGGGGGGGGGAGGAGGGAGAGGGGTCTGGCCCGTCGGCCCCGGCCGGCAGCTGTGGAACTGTAGGGGGGTAACTTTACGCCCTATTCTGACATAATGCGCAGCAAACGAAATAATGCCACGAGTCGGCCGCGCGTG